CAGCCTATTTCCTCTGGCACATCGAGTGTTATGGCACCTGCTTTGCCACTTGCAATTTGGGAGATAGGTTCTTTCAAAGCACTATTGTCAAAAATGGCAAAAGTTTTACTGTTTTGGCACAGATTTTAATTAAACACATTCTTGCTTGGTGGATGAGGGCCAAAATTACAATTCCTTAGGATCAGAGAGTTCTCCCTTTTAACAATTTCTGCTTGTTCCTCTGGACACCCCTTTATACATTAGCCTTGCATCTCCTCCCTCCTGCTGCCACAATCAACTGTCCTCTGGAACTTGCCAGAGAATAGCCCTGTCTCTATGCTGTCCCCTACAGCCGACATTATTACCCAAGTCAACTTGTGACAGCACTGTTCATTATGAAGATGAATAGTCATTTTCTGTGCAGACCACGATTATGAAATGATTTACTTTCAGACATCCTTGTGCTATGACCAGAGCTCATTAGTGCAGAGATGCGACAGAAGAGTGTGATTTATCACTTTTCACTCTGAAAGGCAATGTTATCCTGTCACTTTTCTTTGTGTTTCTTTTAAAAGTGGAATCAGCTGTCTGTAAATTTAATTAAAGAATTAACCCAGAGTGTAGACAATAGTAGCCATGTCCTCCCTCATTCAGCCAAAGTTATGTTTTGTTTTCATGTATCTGTGAACTCTCAGGGTTAATCAGGCCAAGTCCAATTCACTGTCTGAATATTCAGTAACGTGTCTGTGTTACAGTTTGCTTTGGAACATGTGAAGCCCATGCTATAAAACATGTGGTCTCCTCATCCACATTGCCAAGGTGCTAATTGATTTGGGTTTACCCATCTAGCTCACAGTCAGGATAAGAAACAAAATTGAAGTTAGGCTGGTTTTTAAACGAAGGTTAGGAAGGACAAAATGTTGTAAGCTGATTTTCTGCACGTCGAGTGGTCAAATGAAAAAGGATGGAAGACTTTTATTCCTCAAATGTGTTTTGTGACTTCAGATTATCCCTAGTCGCTTTACAGCTGAAGTAGAGCAACATGATAATCACGAGATCATTTGTTTATTTTAGTGGTATTGCTTGAGGGATAAATATTGGCCAAGACACCAAGGAGAAATCTCCTTTGAATTAGTGCCAGTGAATATTTTATGTTTGACTGAGAGAGTGTAATGGCAATTACTGTAATATCTCACCTGCATGCACTTCTGGCACTCCAAAGATGACAAACTAGAGTGCCAGCCTACACTTTGTGTACAAATCTCTTCCTGGAAGGATTTAGCTTACAGATTTCCAATCTCTAGGGGGGAGGTCCTCACTTCTCTCTCATTTAAATTTGGTATGGGTATTGGGAAGGAGAGAGGCACAATGAATTTGCAGGAGGTTCAGTGACTATGACTACTCAGTCACTGAAGGTGCAGATCAGGAAGAATCCATGTACAATTTTTTAAAATTTTATTTTGATCTAGTGGATCTCAATCCCAAGGATGCTATTAATGGTCTTAGCGGTATTAAGTGAAGGCGAGGCAGTAAAGTTGTCATTCCTGATTGTAGAGTGACTACAATTGAAGCAAGTGTGTGGGAATGTGCATGCGCCATGTGTACATGTGTATGATGAGAATTGGAAATGGCAGAATGCAGATAATGTGAGATAGTGGCATAACTGTGATGTCACTAGACTAATAATCCAGAGATCCAGGTTAATGCTGTGGTAACCGGTGGGATTTGCATCCAATGAACAATTCTGGAATTGTCTCAGTAACAGTGTCCGTGAAACTATTGTGGATTGTTGTTAAAAGCCCATCTGGTTGACTGTTGTCCTTCAAGGATAAAATCAGTCCCCTGCCCTTACCTGGTCTGGCCTACTCCAGAGGCACAGCAATGTGATTGGCTCTTCACTGCCCTCTGAAATGGCCTGGCAAACCACACAATTGCAGGGCAACAAATGCTGGCAATGCTCATATCCCATGAAAGAGTAAATAAAAATGCTGATTAGCCGGAAACATTCACTTAGCTGCTTTGCCTATGGGCAAAAGGTAATTTAAGGAGAGAGTGTTCAATCATCTTTGCACCAGCCCAGACCAAGCTGCTATCATTCATCCCAGCAGGAAGGTGAGCTAACCTGCTGGTCAGTTGGTTGAACCACAGGATATGACAAGCCTTGGGGAGGGAAAGGTGGCAGCGGGTGAGGGGTGGGAGGGTATGGTGTTCAACGGCTGGGGTGATGTTGGAGAAATAGTGTGGGGAAGTTACAGGCTCTCTGCCAGGCTTGGCAGGCCAGGTAGGGTGGGGTAAGTAGAAACCAAGGTTTGAGAGGGTTCAGCAGTCTGGGGAAAGGGGTGGTGGGACAGAGCCCAATCCTTCACTGGGTTTGGCAGGGCAGGAGCAGAGGGAACAGCCCAAAAGCCCATATTTTTGCAGAGAGAGTCAGAAATTTTCTGGATCGTTGGAACAGCAAATGGTGCAATCTGCTCCAGGGTGTGGGGTGCAGGACAGAGCGAGCCTGGTGTCTTCAGAAACAGAGTGAGGGATCCAAATGGGTGGCCAGGACAATATGGGCTAGTTAGATGCCATGTTGGTTCTCTTATCCCTGTTTTTATTGTGACTTATAAGGTCCTTCAGGCCTCACTTATCTCACTCCCTTGCTACACATGCCATGCCACCTATCCTAATGTAGCTTCATAGTCCCTATTCCAAAACAATGCCAACTTATGCCTTCCATACCTAATCAACAGTGAACACTATGTTATTATGTACTATGGTTCTGTACAATGTTATTTGTGGAACTGCTCAGAAAAAAGAATCCCTATTCCCAAATTTAAAAAAAAACGACTGTTCTGACAACCCTAGGAACATTGAGGTCACTTTGGTGATCTAATGCACTGGCACAGAGCCTCGATGGTAATAGAGATAAACAAACTGAAAAGTAATGTTTCTACCTACTGGAGGTCTAATAATTAATTGTAGCATTGAAGCATTTGCATTCCACTAGAAATCATAAAAACAAAATGATTCCTTCTCACAAAGAAATTCAGACCTTTTGCTTCAGCCAATCCCACCCCTGAACTAAAGTTAATAACCTATTTACTACCTACATGAAAAGTCACTGTTTGAAATATATCTAATTAATCGTATTTATAGTGCTTTGAGTTATTTCTATGATGGGTTAAAGCTCTGTTCAAGTTCAAACTCTTCTTTCAAACACAAAACCTTAGAGCATTTTAAACAAACATTCTCTTTTTCTCAAAAGCTTAAATAGTTCTACTTCAAATACACAAGGCTCTTTTAACTGAAACTGCTGGATCCTACAGATTGGATTTCTCTCACTCATTTGAGGGGATATTTTAATACATTGCTTTTCCAGTCGAGGAACTGTGTGTTTACTTGTGTTCTGTGGCATTGTTACACAAACCTTGTCTTTCACTCCTTCCCCCTCTCCATCTCCTACTTTTTGTACTTATTAGAAACACAAGCCCTAAACAAGAAGTACTACTTGTTGCAAGGATTAACACAATGTCAGAATATGAAACTAATTGGATTACTAATCCTTTTAGATTTTTCTGACAAGACAGTTTCCAATAGGAGTCACGGTGGTTCCTCCCAGTCAATTAAGTACCACTGAAGAAAAGTTGGATTAATTTTTTTTGCATTGAAGAAACTACTTCAAACAGAGAGAATCAGATCTGGATTGGCAAAGAATAAAGCCTGTATATTCTTTTAGGAAACACATACATTCTTTAAATACAAATGGGATTTGACACTGACCTTAAAATCATCTGTGCAAACATTGCACTCATTTTTTTTGAGTGATTCTGCATTCTATGAGATCTTGAAAAGTAAAAAACAAGTTTTCCATACTAACAGTGCAAGATATTTTGATTCTCTCTGAACTCTACCATCAGTTCAAGAGAGAGACGTCTGTCTTTAAAGTAGAGACTTTGTCAATTTGAGCCCTATGGTAAATTTGAAGACATGCTGTATTGAACCTCAGACAGACAGCTTGATAAATGGTCAGTGTAAGTTTACAATCCCCTGGTGGGAGTAAATATTGTCGGAGAGAAAGGGCTTGACAAATATTGCATCACTCTTTTCAGAGCCGTGTTAATTCAGGGAGCACCAGCCTGTCCCTTTATTGAAACTGACTGCTTAATTCCAAATAGATCCCACTAACTGTCAGATAAATAGAAAAGAGAGCGTTAAATTCAGATTGACGGTAGGGAAGGAAATTCCCCCTCTCCCTACATGGGGATAAAGAAAGAATTACACTGGTGAGGAGGAGAGGAACCCTGACATGTAACGGCTGAGGATAATGGAAATTGCCTGGACTTAACAGAAAATGACCACTTGTCATCCAAGTGACGGACAACAGCTGCTTGCACATCTGGAGTCTGGTTCTTAGGAAACAGCCCCAACTCTTAAGAGGAAAACGCCAACAGCGCCTTAGTCTACGGACCTCAACGCATCTGGGTGCAAAACTCCTCAATTGCAAAGCAACTAAAAAAACACTTGATAATTCACATTGTCTTCACAAGTTCGGCCTTAAATGTAAATGTTAGCAGTGCACAGCTAGTCAATTTCCCTGCAAGTCCTTTACCTTGGCCATCACCGCACGATGTTTTCTTAAAGGTCTCATGTCTAGGGAAGGAAGTTCAATAATGAAAGAAAAAACAAACAAAAATCGGAACATCTCCGCAACAGAAGTCCCTTTGAAACTTCTAATATTAACTTTATACCTTTCACAGCAACAAGTAGCCAAAGGGCATTTCCCTTTTACACTTACTCTTCTTACACTGTTAGATCTCATTATATCTGTAAAGGAAAGGTGACATTAAACACACAGGAGGTGGTCACACCGTGATTGCATTCTCATCATCTGCCTTGCAGAACTGCAAATGCCAGACCAATGAAAACTGATATAACCTTTTCTTTTCCTGCCAGCGCTGATAAAATTCCTTCAGCTATCAAAGAGACATCAAAAATGAAACAAAACAAACAAAAAAAAAAGAAAATCTCTGACTTACTCCAGCCAAGTTGACATAAGCTGAGGGAGAGAGATGAGTTAAAATATTCCTTTTAAAATCGATTACAATCGCATTTGCTCTGCAGATTCCGATTCTCAGTTGCGTCCTGTTGCTCCTTCCGCAAGTTAGGTAGGCACAAGTTCAGCACAAAATGACTGGAGACATTTTTGTTTTGTTTCGGCGTGATTCTGGAAAAGGAGTGAGAAAGTGCTTGGTGAAGCGTTCAGCCAGCAGAGTTTGCTTCAGGGATGATCAAGACTGTCGTTCTGACTCCCTCCCCTGTAATGATCTCAAGCTTTCCTAAAGAGTGAAATTACATTAACATCACTGTCAACCTATTGGCTGAAATACCAAATCCCATCCAATCCAAGAAGCCTGAAATACCACAGTTGGGATGAAAACCTGGAACAGGATCCCATCACACGGAATGGTAGGCATCCTCCCCAGAGGTTTAGTTTCAAAGGATAGGTATCACGTGGCTATGGATCTATGGAAAGATAACTTTCGCCTGTTCCTGGAATTATTTAACGATAAATTATGCAGCAGAATTTTTTTTAAAAATCTATGCTTTATGCCTCAGCGATGCCTGAAAGATCTTCCCTGCAAAATTATTTATTAAGTGATGGTGGTGCAGGGGTCAAACATAGTCGGTTGTTACTTTGCCAAGTCTGAGAAATTTCCCCACCCTCATTTAATCCCCAGCGAGAGTGTCAGCCTCTCAATGTACAGCCACACTCTTGATAGAAGAATTATTTTCTTTACTATTTGCCCTCTTTTTCTGAATGTATTTTAGTCCTTGCTGCAGAGTTTCACACCAGTTACCCTGCTGGACACTATAGTCATTGCCCTACAAACCTAATGGCGAAATTTGTCTGATCATGGAGAGTATTGCAGTGGACTGTATAGCGATGTACCCTCACTTTGATTGCTGGATAATATTTGGGAACTAGAACCCTGACTGATTTTCTTTTTTTCTTGTTTTTCATCCCTAAACCAATGATGCTAAAGTGAACTGAAGACTAAAGTTGAAGGCAAGACACATCCCAGACAGGTCTGAGCCCTGATCTCATTCTTAGATTTAGGTGGCAGCTATCAAATTTCAGTGTTGTTCTAATTTTTGCCATATAATCACAGGGTATGTTTTAATTCTAACAAGCACCATTCAGATGTGGTCCAAAGTCATTGTATGTTCCCTTGTCACCAATGCCATTAGGTCACTTTTGACGGAACCAGAGTGTTTGCAAACTTGGCACTAATTTTAACCCCTTCAAATTCATAGTATGTCCAACACAAAGGCTGCCACCTTACACATCCATAATGTCCTTGTCTCCATCTCTGCCTCAGCCCCATCTACTACTGACACTTTTGTGCTTTTGCTCCCACAAAAGAAAACTCCATCATTCCAATGCATCCCCCTGCGCCCCCCCAGCTACCATGTTCCATTCTCAATAAACTCATCCAAAATTCTGTTGCATCTGGGATAACCCATACCATGTCCTTTTCACCCCATCACTCCAGTACTCATTTATCTACATTGGCTGCTAGTCCACAATCGCAGATTTTGAATTAGCCCTCTTAAAGATTAAATCCCTCCATGGCTTTGCCCGTCTCTATCTCTGTAACCTTTTCCAGCCTGTTAACCCTCTGTTCCCCTCTTGTGCATCCCTGACATTTTTCACCCTTCCATTGGCAACCTTGGTTTCAGCTATCTAATTCCCTCCTTAAACAGTTCCAACATTTCCTTTAGGGTTAAGAAACTCTTTGTATGCATCACTGTGACTGTCATATTGATCTGATGTCTACTTCTTTAGTTTGCTGTCAATTTTTATCCCGGTGAAGTGATTCTGTATTTGTGTCTACATTACAGCCATTCTATGAATCCAAGCCGTTCCTGTTGTTTGCAATTGAATACAATGGTGACTTTTGAAGATATCGCAGTAACTTCACCAATGAGAAAATACCTTCCTATGGATGATGTTGAAGTGCTTGTTCAAAGTGTTCATTTTCTCCTCCACTGTTATTAGGCATCTTCTGAAATCACCATCTTTACTGTTATAGTTAGGTCTGGAATCAACAGAGTTTTGGTTTAAATTAGGAATAATATTCTCAGTCTGAGTTGGCAGATTCTCATTTTCTCTTCCTTTCAGCTGTTGAACTAGCTAATTTGCATTTAGACATATTTCCACAATTCTCTGATACCTCACCCAGGGAGGCCATTATTCACATAGACCACTGAGCTGGTGTTAACAGGCTCTTCAGCTTCCTTGTGGAATCCTGCCTCAACTTGACACAATTTGGATAGTAAACAGTAGTTGTGGCCCTGGGAAGATGATGCCAATTGTTAGGACCCTGCCCACTGCCCAAACTGAGATTAGCTCAATTCATTACGAAGTGGGGGCTTTCATGATGTTCATGATTCAGCTTCTTATTGGAAAGTCTGCTAAGACTTTGTGCTTTGAAATGAAATATAGAGTAGAATTCTGTAGCCTCCCTTGCGGTGAACTTGCAGACGGAGAAAGCACTTTATCAGGCGGGTGGGTGGCAGGCAAATATGCTTCCACTTTCTTGCTTCCACCCTGATTAGATTCAGGGCTTCCTGCCCCATCACCATTGAGGCCCTTAAGAGGGTAACTAATGACTGCAGAGTACCTCAGTGTGTAGTAGCTGGTATGAATCCAGTTGTAGGTGGGTTGTATTGCCATTTGAGAGTACAATAGGTAAAGCTGTGCTCCCTTTTTGCCTCCTGGCAGAAGGAGAGGGAAAATTCCTTTTTCAAAGGCACTCAGTGCCCATTGAGTGTCACCCTCTGCCTTTGCTGCTGATGCTCCCACAGCCCTTGTCTATTATCCCACTCTGTGGAAGCCATCCTACACTGACTTACTCCCGGCCTGGCTCATGACTTGATCCAGGCCTCCCAAATGGCTATTGTTCCCACAGCAACCTCTGGTGACACTTCTGATTGGCTGGCACTCCCCAGAGGGCACAACATCCCACCTTCAGAGTCTTAATCCTGGGGAAATGCCCGCTGGTGCCCTTTGAAGTGCCTGATTGATTCATTGTTTTGTGGATCTTCCCCAAAGGGAACGCTACACATGTAGACTACCATCAGTTATTCTCATAAGATTGCACTCATAAGGCCAGTTTTTTATGCTACTGGGGGGAGAATTTGCAGCTGCTCCATGACTTTAAAATTCTCTTTGTAAAACCCTCTTGTTTCAGTGTTTCCATTCCCAACTCAGACTATGATTACTTACTTTAAATCATGCTTCCCTCCTGCTGAAGCATCTTGAGACATATTACTATATCATTAACAGACACATATATATGTATGCACATGTGTAATATATGTCTGTAAATTATCCCTTTCTGTACATATAGATAGCTCTGCATAGATCTATACAAGCACACATTACTGTCACGGAGAACGGAAACTGCAGTATCCATATGGTTTCACACTGCATGGCCTGGGAAGTGACCCATTCTGAGCAGCTGTTTAATACTCTGTTGTCTACAGTACACTGTGAGCTGTTTCAGATTCTCCGATGAGTGTGTGCTTTCTCTCTGTGGGCTGGTTGTACATCTGGACCCTCCAGGCTACACCGCTACTGAACTATTGTTTTTTTCTGAAAACCTGCGCTGTTTGGCGAATTAGTCTTTCAGAATACCCTTGTGGCATTCCTTTGTAGATAGGTGAGACTTGAACTCAGACCTTCTGGCCCAGAGGTAGGGACACTACCACTTTACCACAGGTTCTTCTCCCTCCAAACCTGTGTGACAACTTTGGTTTGAAGTAATTTTCAGTGTCAAAAGAGGAAATGACTTACGTTGCTGCTTTGCATGATGCTACACATCAGATTGAACTAATTGTAAAGGTAGCTGAAAATTTGATTTACCTTACAGCTGAACACATGCAATTGAAAACCTGCTTTAGACTAGTAAAGGGAATGAAACCCAATTTGCATGAATACCACAGCTAGAAGTCAAATTCAATCAACAAAATTGAAAATTTTATGTCACCTCCTCAGAAATTAAAATTCCTTTTCATGATGGGAAGCTACACTTCTAAAAAAATGATGAAACAAAGTCTGACATGAAGCTTCAGAAGATGTTTCAAATATTTAGAAACTCTGTCAATGCAGAGAAAACGAAAGGCTAATGCTTTGGGAATAGCTGGGTATCTGCAGCTAAAATGCTCACACATTTGGGCTTTTTTTTGATGTTGTAAGGGTGCAATTCATCTTTGGCAGTAGCAAAAATAAAAGACATTTGCAAATTGCTAATTTTGGAAAGGAATATCAAGCAGAATTTAGAATGATTTGGCGAATGGCAATTTCTTGTTTTCAGCTTTTTGGAGTGAATTTTCTGCTGACACTTTTGGCAGAGAGCCTTGGCCTTCGGGAATTGGCACCATGTGATTATCCAAAATGCCGGAAAAATTATGCAGTGGTTGTTCCAGGTTTTCAATAGGTACTTGCAGCTGAGAGTTCAAGTTAGCCTGAAACTCTCCTAACAGATCTGCATGTTTCTGTTTAATGTTTTTTTTTCCTCTGAAGATAAGCTCTAACACACTGAGCTTTACATTGGGAAGAGGATAGATGTATTTTCAGGACTTACTGATGACAATCCAGTGACTATAATATCCAATGCATTGCAGATGTACTGCAGTTAGGGTAGAGGGATCTTCCACACCTGATGATTCCTGAGTTTACGTAACTTCCTGTATCACTCTATGAGGGATCAAAGGCTCTTGTGGTAAAGTGGTAGTATTCCTACCTTTGGGTCAGAAGATCTGGGTTCAGTCCCACCTGCTGTGGACAAGAGTTGGAACAGGTTTGTTGATAAATACTTTGTGGGGTCAAATGCAACATACCAATTGATTGCCATAGGCATGTCTACTATAATACTAGACTGGTTATGATCAGACCTATCAAATTACTTTGGAAAGTTCAAATTTTCACTTAAAAGTTAAGTGCAGTAGAAGCCAAATGCCTCAGGGTATCTCACCCAACTGGATTTACATGAACCAAATCTGTGGCTGTGAATGTTAACTGTGCACAATGATGGACAGCGTGCAACATCAAGTTGGCTTCTCGATACGCAGCATACCTGATTTTTCTTTCAGTTGAAATAGTGGGAGGAAAAATATGAGTCAGATGTCTAATGGCCATTGAGTTCAATATCTCCTATTTTACACATCACCCAACATTAACATTGTCACCAGTGAGCACCAGCAGGCTGATTACTAATGGAAGCGCATCACTGATGAATCTGTTCCTGCTTTCACCTG